TCGGTCGGGTTTGTAGAGGAAATGACTGCAATGTTTATCCATGTCTTCTTATGGTAGTGTAAGAGGAAGTGTATGTAGCTTCAATGCATAGGGTCTTAGATGGGCTGTGCCTGGCAGGGTGTGGATTATTCGAAGGTCGTGGGGAAGAGAGGGCGGGGTGTGCATGAATCCCAGCTTAGTGATTCGGTCCACGGTAAACAACTGATCAATGAATGCAGGTATCATGCAGGAGCCAGAACAGACACTGTTTATAATTATGAGAGTGTTGGTTCGGTGTGACTCAGTCGGCTGTGTGGCGCACACTAGTATACCAGATGTAGGGTGGAGGTATAGTGTTTACAGTAGAGAGATATGGAGGAGGAGGTGACTGACTGCTGCCCAGTGTGGCTTGTCTGCTGTGTGGCCAGACTGAGCACCGGATGTGCCTGTCCCTCCCACTGGTCATTTGAGCCAGTACATTATACAGCCTTGACTGTATGTAGCTCATTCAATACCATGTACGTATGTATGTAGGAGCATGTACATGCAGAATGCGCACATTGTACATACAAAGGTGTGGTGTATGGCAAGATTCTATCCCATCAGACTCGTCTGTGGTTGGTAGTTGGGGTGTGGGCCATGTGCATGGATTCCGAAACTAAACTGTTTGCCTGTCGCCCTTAGTTCATACTCAACCACGCCCACCCTGTAGCTGTATCAATCAACAAGTAGAGTTTCGGTTGCTATAGGTGATGGCAAATTTCCCCGGAGGTGTGTTTTACCAGCTACTGATGTACATAATATCGGATGCACAGAGCTACATGTGCCAAACATACAATAGGTGTGAAGGAGTCAGTGGCATGCATAATAAACTCTTTGAGGGCTGGGTGCATCCTAATACATAGACATTTGTACACTGTTCTTGAATACCTCTACATCTGCAGTGCTGCTGTAAGTGTCCTATTTCTATGGTGTACAGTTTCAGTGGATGTGTCCAAATTTCACACATTGTAGCTCTCTAGAATATCCATACATATCCCATATTTAGAGTGTCATAATAATACATTACTGTATATATGTAACTTATCGTATCTACCATCTACATGCACATTACAGGACATGTACAAGAAGATGGTAGAGATAGACGCAGCGGAGCCGACAGAGGAGGAGCACGCACAGCAGGCCATCACGAAGCCACGCTACATGCAGTGGAGGGAGACGATCTCTTCGTCTTCCTCTCTGGGCTTCAGGATAGAGGGGATCAAGGTGAGAGAGGGAGAGAGGGCGAGGAGGGATGGAGAAGGAGGGTGTCTCGACTTGGTGTGTGTGTGTGGGCTTAAAATGAAGTCGCTGAGGAGGGAGTGTGTTGGAAAGAAAAAGAAGTGGAGGGAGAGAGAATAGGTTCAAACCTGTGCTATGTTTTGTTGAAGCATAATAGGGTCCGTTTCCCTCTATACACAAGTTTTCTTTTGAGCGGGAGAGGGCGTGGACGATGGAGTACAAACTTAATGTGTGTGTGGGGGGTTCCCAAGGAAGTGGGAAGCTAAAGGAAGAGAGAGGGGGGAAGGATGGAAGGGGAGGATCGAGGAAGGATGGAAGAGGATGGATGTTTGTTGAGGTAGCGATGGAGGCTGGGAAAGGAAAAGTCCTGGCACTCTGTCAAAAGAGCCGACTTGTCTGTGTAGCTGCTGTAGGAAGTGGTGCTCAGATCCCCCTGTTTACACCCACTGTACTGTGAAATACACAAACAGTGTATAATTCTTGACTCTGGGTCCCTGGAGGACGCATACCTCCCTACAATCTCCCGCCATGTTTTCCTCATGTCTTGGCCTCTCCCCCCCTCTCCCCCTCTCCCCCCCCAGCCGGGCAAGTAAACTGTGTCATTGACTTTAGCGTCAATTGGTTGCACATGGTGGCCAGTGTCTCACGGTTGGACACACATCCTACACACACTGTGGCCCAGAGATATACCCATGAGACCATGCCATGTGTGCTACTGTTTCCTCATCGGCTCCTCTTCACTCTTCCTCAACTTGTGCACAACAACCATCACAACATCATCTGAAACTCCTAATAAAGCCCACTCTGGAACCAAGTGTCCCTTAAACCCACCCTACAGTACAACTTCCCCCTGTGCTATATAATACTTGGTGTCTAGGTGCTCTAGAGGTTTGGCATACTTCCACAAATGTCTTGTATTGCACATGCATGTGTTTGCATACCACGTAGCCTTTTAGCTATGTGTGTATATATGCACCTGTTTTCAAACTCTTGTTAGGAAGTGTGGCAACTACGTTTTAGTCAGTTGGGAAGTTTGTTTTGTTCTAGAGTTGCCGTCTGACGGCATAGACATGTACATGTTGCTTCCTGTGTGTACATACGTAACATGCCTCTCCATAAAAGGCATTTGTAAACATTTTCACATCCCTAAACGAGGAAGTGAAGGATCTTTCACGATGACTAACACACACACACACACACCGGTGGCATGCGTGCAATGTGTGTCTATTTGCCCACACAGTTCCGTATCTGTTTAGATTTGCTTTTTCAGTTGCCTGTTTGTGACGTCACATGTACACACCTTATGATGTGCAGTGTACTAATAAGGCTATCAGGTGGTGGCTGCTATAGTTGCTATCGATGTGTTGCTGTGTTAATGCCTGGGCTGCTATAGACTGTAGCCAGTTGTGTGTGTGTTGTGTTAATGTGAGCTGTCCGACCCATTCACTTGACGACACCATACACTGGTGATGTTTGTCTGTAGAGATTGGCTATCACACGTGTGCACACACATCAGCGTGCGGCGGACAACCACAATATTATCGCAGTAGTAACATTGTCCAGTAACACTACCTGCTACTAACAGGAACCACATCAAACAAGGCTTTCTGCTCCAGAAACACAAATTGAGTGGTTTTGTGTGTGCAGTTACAAACTCAGCTTGTCATTCTTCTGGTGTCACTCACAAATTGGGATGTCAGAGAGGCAGCTGTGCGTTCGTTCACGTTGCATCGTCATGTGGACATGCACACACACACACATGTGCAGCTAGCCGGCTAGAGTATCCACTATCAACACTTTTGTGACAAATAAGGGCGGGTCCAATTGCAAGACAATCACTGATTGATTACATCATAATGATGTCATCATTATTGTCCTCCCTATAGACGTCGGAGGGGAACTCTCTGAAAGAGTTCAAGACCACCAAACTGGAGGAGGACGTCAAGTGTGCTCTCAGAGACTTCATTTCAGAGAACCCATGTGTCAAGGTCAGTGGTGGGGATCATTGTATGTAGCTAAAGGAGGTTCCACTGTCGGAGTTGTCCTATTCCACTTCTTTTTTTTGGAGACTTTTGTAATGGAAATTTCAAGATATGGCTTCTTTTACTCGTAAGAGTTGAGCTCTCTAAGGAAAAACGACAGAACTCTAAACCATTTTTAGAGTGAGCTGCTCACTGGAGTGTGTTCTCCACATGGTCACGTGGGAGGATGCTGCAATGAGGCATTGTCTTTATTAGGAGCACCAGTTATAGCTGTGCATGCTCGGTGAGTGGTGGTGCGCGACCGTGATGGGTGCTTGCTTGTTTGCTCGCCCGTAGTTCCTATCTGCCCCTCTTTGGGAAACAGTTTCAAGCTACATTAGGTACTATTGCCGGCGCACCGGTAGAGGTGTGTTCACATCGGTCTTGCAGCTTGTCGATAGCCAAAACCCATGTCGCCTAGTATTATACCCATGTTACCAATGGGTACTGAATGCTGCATGCTACCAATGCACCTGAAACTGTATTGCCTGTTCTCTGTTACCAATGGGTACTGAATGCTGCATGCTACCAATGCACCTGAAACTGTATTGCCTGTTCTTTGTTACCAATGGGTACTGAATGCTGCATGCTACCAATGCACCTGAAACTGTATTGCCTGTTCTTTGTTACAATGGGTACTGAATGCTGCATGCTACCAATGCACCTGAAACTGTATTGCATGTTCTTTGTTACCAATGGGTACTGAATGCTGCATGCTACCAATGCACCTGAAACTGATGCATGTTCTTTGTACCATGGGTACTGAATGCTGCATGTACCATGCACCTGAAACTGTATTGCATGTTCTTTGTTACCAATGGGTACTGAATGCTGCATGCTACCAATGCACCTGAAACTGTATTGCATGTTCTTTGTTACCAATGGGTACTGAATGCTGCATGCTACCAATGCACCTGAAACTGTATTGCATGTTCTTTGTTACCAATGGGTACTGAATGCTGCATGCTACCAATGCACCTGAAACTGTATTGCATGTTCTTTGTTACCAATGGGTACTGAATGCTGCATGCTACCAATGCACCTGAAACTGTATTGCATGTTCTTTGTTACCAATGGGTACTGAATGCTGCATGCTACCAATGCACCTGAAACTGTATTGCCTGTTCTTTGTTACCAATGGGTACTGAATGCTGCATGCTACCAATGCACCTGAAACTGTATTGCATGTTCTCTGTTACCAATGGATCTACACCGAGACATACATACGTAGCTGCACTCTATTACACATTCCCATTGCATCATAATGTACACACATGTTGTACACTCTACTGTAGGAGCCGTTCTTGAGAAGGTTATGTGACATTCGGGCAGCAATGGAGCAGTCAGAGTTCTTCCGACGACACGAGGTATGTACACACACAGAGTCCTCTCCCACCATTTCTCATTTGTACACTGACACTTAAGTTTACTAACTTATGTGCAATAGCATAGTCAGGCTTAGTTTGTTAAACGGTAGGAGGACTTGCATCACTAACTAACTGTGCAAAAGTGTAGTTGTACAGGTACACCATGTATTCACTTTAAAATGTAGGAGGACTTGCAGCACTAAGTTCTGTGCAAAAGTTTAGTTGTAGGTTTCCTAGTAGACACTATGTTAAAATGTAGGAGGACTTCCGTGCATGTAGGGTTGCTTAGTGTAACACTCATGTCGCTCACTCATTCGACTAAACCCTTAGAAGTATCCCAACATGAGTGTTCGGTATTTACACACCCAATGTTTACTATATACCCTGTGTACAACGGAATCCTACTAATCTGGACACCAATGGGACAGAAGAAAGCTGTCCTAAATTTTGTTGAATTGCATGCAAGAACTGTTCTTGGGTAAAGTTCTTACTATATATAGAGAGGTGTCCTAATTTGAGGAATGTATGGTTATAATTATAATTATAATGCTGTGTTTTCCTCTGTCTCTGTAGGTGATTGGAAGCTCCCTACTGTTTGTCTACGACAGCACTGATCTGTGCAGTGTCAATCTCATTGACTTTGGCAAGACCATCCCCCTGCCCGAAGGAGCCTCCATTGACCACCGCTCCCCGTGGGTGGAGGGGAACCACGAGGACGGGTATCTGTGGGGGCTGGACAACCTCATCCGACTGTGGAAAGAGATCCAATTCGAACACTACGCGAGCCCCGCGAAGCACCGGGCGGCTTACAGACGCAGCATCAGTGCCATGGCACTCTAACAAGAGGCCGTGCTTGTCGTAGGAGAAACAGAGCTCCACCTGAAGTATACTTGAGCTGGGGCTGACCAGAGCTTTATATTTATCGTGTGCCGCACCGCATCGCGTTGTTTTTTGAGCAACCATTCTAAGTCGGATATTATTCTCCCCATCTTGTCCGTGTTAGCATCGTACGTGTAACCGCCTGTTGTTTCGTATTGTGTGCCGTGTGTCAGTGTGTGAATTATTGAGCAAAACCTTTCGTAGTTTATATAAAATCATACCGAATTATATAGCAATGTGCCAGTCGTTGCACATAGATTATGTGGCTCTTGTTTGGATTCTCTGATTCCCTCCCTCCTCCTCCTCCTCTCACCTGACGTTTCCCTGTCACCAGATCAGTTATATGAGCGAGCAACAATGATTATATACGCATCTGCCCTTTTTTTCTCACATTTGGTTTCATTTTATCTTCATCAATTTTGATGTAAACATATTGTGTTAGTCTGCACAGCATCAATATTTTATCCAATGCTAGTATATACTGCAAACACTTACACGAAAAAGCAAGCTCTGATTTTTGCGTATTGTCAGATAATATTAAAGGGGCAAATTACTCGGAGAAGTTGTACCGTCCATATATTCTCCAGAACATTTCGTGGCAGTTTAAGGCAGCCCCGAGCCTCGAACAGAGAAGAAAGGCTCCCGAGTACTTGCGGAGTATGGAGTAACTCTCCTCTGGTGGCGGAGTAAGGAGGTGGTCGAGAATGATGGGGAGGAGTCGGTGTACCCCGGCCATTGTCTCCTGGTGACCAAAATCAAAGATGGCGTCGCGTTTGAACGGCTCTCCGAGAATAAGTGATGCTTGGTAGTGGGCTTCTAATAGAGTCTGGGTGTAGGAGGGATTGTAGGTGGGCAAGAGAAGAGAGAAAATATGTACAGTGAAGGACATCTCTATAAAGGACACCTCATGTTTCTGTGCATAATAATAATCTTCTGACTAAGGGACACCTTGATGTGCCCATGGTACGTATAAAGCTGCACAGCACCAGTGGATGTACCCATGGGTAACTGAAATCCTGTGTTACAGCGTAACTTGCATGCCCTTCCACTGAAAGTCTGTCAATTAACAATTTTGTGCAGAATCCATAATAGGAAGTATGTCACGTAAAGATTTTGTAAGAAAGGAGAGTTGGTGGGAATAAAGATTCCATTCACATGCGGAATGATGTTAGCTACACTAATTTATGCACTGGGGAGGGCCAAGATATGGAGAAATAATTAGGCGTGAATAAGGTATTTCCTGTGCACGATGTTTCCCACGCTTACTCCGAAAACAATGGCTGGGATAGTAATTGGATCACGTTGACACATTCTCATGTCTTCTGAGCACATTAAACCACTTAGTGGCATATGGCACTACATGCATGCAGTTCGTTATGTGGCCTAGTTAAACTCGTCTGAGGAACAAATAGTCTGAACATAATACTACTTTATTTGGGGTTGTATCTGTCTGTCATATTATGTAAAGTACAATAGTGTCCTGTGGTGCGCTAACTGGAACATAACTTTATACAGAGGGTGTTCTATATTGTGTATTAGCACTGGATCGAAACACGTGTGTATCCATTACAGAGGGATAGACTGTTAGTGTCCACTATGAGATATCTCTGAGATATCTCGCCCGTGCTTACATGAGTAATGTGGGATGAGTTTATAGTAGACCATGCACCAACACACATTCCCAACAGCGTGTACAGTGTCTGGAACACAATAGTTGTCTGACAATACCGTCTGTCTGGACCCTTGAACTGTGGATCTGGCTGGGGTTAGGTTACACTCAGACACTGTCGGAGTGGATGTCTCAACCCACCCTAGGAACCAGTGACGCTAAACTGTGTCGGTATTGGCAAGAGCTATGAGGTCAAGGGCATCATCATGAACTGTGACATCCACAGAACTGTGACCCAGTCAGAATACTAGTACAAAGGTGCCAGCACTAACTGTATATACAGGTGTGTCTTGGAATACTGATTCCCTACTGACGTGGGAGAGAAGCTTCCTTACATATTCATAGGGATAGTTTGCTTATGAGTGATATCCTCATTCAGGTCGCTTACAATATACTTTAAATGAGTAGTTGAGCCATTCCAAATTAGCGCTCTCCGCATTCACTTCTTGGCACACTGAGACAGATGAGAAGATGTGGCATCACACACTGTGAGTTACACAAAAAAAGTGGTAGATCTAATTGACAATCGTTGCAGTTCAAGATGAAGCTTTACACACTGCTACGAGTGAAATTGACACGAAATTTCAAAAATGTAAAAACAGTGTACAAAAACCATTCGTATTATATATACTGGAGTTCAGTCGGAGAGTGTGTGGTGTTGAGAGATCCTCTGGTAGATGGTGTGGCAGTTGAACGAGGCTTGAAGACGAGTACAGAGGAAGAACGCTCCGGACAACTTGCGATGGAGAGAGTAGCTCTCATCGGGTGGTGGAGTCAGGCGGTGACCGAGGATGACGGGAAACAGTCGCTGAATCTTGGCCGTCGTGTCCTGGTGACCAAAGTCAAACGGAGCGTCTTGTTTGAAAGGCTCTCCGAGAATGAGCGAGGCTTGGTAGTGGGCATCGAGTAGAGTCTGGGTGTGTGTGATGAGCGGTTGGTTGGTTTCCAGATGAGAGGGAGGGAGATTGAGAGAGGGGAGGGAGATGAGAGAGAGATGGAGAGGGAGGGAGATCGAGAGAGAGAGAGAGATGGAGAGGGAGGAAGATAGAGAGAGAGATGGAGAGGGTTTAACAGGTGGCGGCGATCGATGGAGAAGAGCAGGTATTGAAGTCGGGGGAAACGAAGAAAGAATAAGAGAAGGTGGTAACGTTCTCAGTACCAACCCCTCTCTTTCTTGAGGGAGGGGCTGGTGCTGCTGACACGATCACCTCTTTAGTATTGTCTAACATACCACTAAAAGGCAGGTACAAACCTGTGCCTAGAGAACACACCAACTACGACCTGTGCTTAGTTCATGTGAAGCTTGTTGTGTGAGGTCTAATTATGGGCACAAGAGTGCTATATAGTGCTGATTCCAAAGCCTACACAGGAGAACTATATAGGAGACCTATATAACTATATAGGAGAACCCACATTAGCAGCAAACACATCTCATCTCTGACAACGTAGCAATGCTGTTCCCCCAGCAACTGCCTGTTTGTTGGCTTACACGAATTATGCATGGCCCTGATCAGATTTAGAACTGGCACAGCCTCGAATCCCCACTTCCTGAGGATGAGTACATGTAAGGCTTACTGCCAACAGAAATGGATACAACCAGCCAGGACCTGTCCCAGGGAAATACCAAAGGTTCAGTGGATCAACATAAACCCACAGCATTCAGTCCGGCACACCTATGGAAGTTTGCCGAAACGAGCATCATAGAGTGTCATAGAGTGTCATAGAGTGTCATAGAACCTTTTGGAATGCTGTGGCAATGCACATAAAGATGCTTCTATGGACAATGTGTGCTAAACAGACCCCAATACAATGCTATATGTATATCGTAGCCCCATACATCTATGATACTAGGTACCATGCCCATCCCTATATACTAAGTACTACCGTACTTAGTGATATTACACCGGGGTGGATGTGACATCACTAATACTCCAGATGACGCGCAGGTCTGGAATGTACAGTATAGACACAGGACAGTGGGCCGTGTTTCCTGACGGGAGTATAGAGCCCCACAGTACAGACTATAGCCCCAGAGTACAGCAGTACAAATACAGCAGCAAGCATTGTCTGAGGTCACTGACCAAACAAGGCCGGATGAAGTAATATCGCACTCCTAAATCCCTCCATTATTTGTGGTAAAGTGTGCATCCTGTCCCTAAGTGTCACGTCCTTATTCGTAGGCAAATTTCCATATTTGCTTAGGTTTTTCAACCGCACTAGCTATACACACTCTCCCACTGTATTCTACTTTGTGCCAGTTATAATTTAAAAAATTTATTAGGAGGCAATTCATAATTCTGGTGTACATCAACTGTAGACTGTGTATATTTACTGTACCTTGCTCTCGTAGCCTGTCAGGAAACCCATGGCCTTTGAACTCTCCAATACTCTGTCCCTGTCCTCCATGATGGAGCCGTGGATCACCTGAGGAACATCACCAGGAGAGGAGGATGATAAAGATGGGCGGTGCACGTTTTTTAAATACTGAGTTGCAGGGTGTGAACAGAGGGATTCAACATGAAATGCAGCGACACCCTGGTAATACGCAAAAAAAGAGCTGCTACTAACACACTTTTCAGCTGCCCTGGGTGGGACTTGAATTGAGCCCACAGCGTTCTGCTCTCTAGACAGAGAGCTCTTTCTACCTAGTGAATAATACGAAGGCACAGGGCTCTCACCTTCAGGTAGTGGTCAGTGAACATCTTAGGGTACTCTCGGCTGGCACCGAAATCCAGCAGACATATCTGGAGACACGTTTACCAATCAACACGGAGCACACTGGCTGGAAAGGGCAGAAACTGACTCTGTTGTCGTCGGGGTTGTAGAAGAAGTTGCTCCAGTTTGGGTCGGTTTGCATGAACCTGAACTCAAAGAGTTCCCTCATTACTAGATCCAGCACTCTGGCTGCTATCTGCAGTCAGAGAGAGAGAGAGCATTGAAAAGAGATGGTGGGGAGGGAAAGGGCCATCAAATGTATAGAGGGGGGGGGGCATCGAAAAGAAGGAGAGATGGAGGGAGGCATGGCTAGGAAAGGTATGAGAGGGGGGGATTAAAAAGGCAGGAAGGGGGACACTGCAAGAATATATACGTATGAGAGAAGGACAGAGACACGAAATGAAGCATAGGAGAGAGGTGGGAGTGGAAAGGTATCTGGCTCACATCATTGCGGATCTCCTGCGGAAGGGAGACACACTGGTCTAGAGGTAGGCCCTGGATCAGCTCCGTGGTGAGGACACGCTTCGTGGATAGCTCAGGGAACACCTCGGGTACCAGGTACCCAGGGTCATTGGCCAACAGCTCTCTACAGCAGCAGAGCACAGGATAACTAACTACCGTTCCATTGACTTTCACTGACTGTATCTAGCCAGACCTGAACATGTTCTGACATTTGGCCTCTCTGATGTAGTCAGTCTCCCAGGCCAGCTCCTTCCTTGCCACTGTCACCAACTCATCCACAAACAGACCTACAGTCATACATACATATCACATATACAAATTGTACATATCCTCATTGCATTGTAGCATGGAACACGAAGAACATTGCACATCAAGGACTCCCAGGAGATGAACTCCTCACTAGGCGGTAAAATACATACCAGTTCCATGGGCCTCTCTCAATATAGGTATAAGTAAGGTGGTATGTATATATTATACCTTCAGGTAGTATGTTCCAGAGTTTCAAGATGCCCATGAGGTTGTCTATGTCACTGTCAATACTCTGAGCCACACCTGGATACTGCCGAGGAGCACAAAATTGAGCTCCCTATTATAATCTATCGTTTAGCTAAAAACTCGGCGAGCTTTGTACAGAAAGCACACTGGATTTATAATGTTTCCAAGTGTGCGTAATTACATACACATACATACTTGCAATCACGTGTAATACGTAATACCTGTATCTTCATGGCGGCACACTGGCCAGAGTGGAGGACAACAGAATGGACCTGGCCTATGGAGGCAGCTGCCAGCGGCTGGGGGTCAAAGTCTGCCAGTTGATCCCTCCATTTCTCCCCCAGCTCCTCCTTCAGCACTTTCTGCAGACAGACACAGCACAGCATACACATACAGTCCGACACATTATCGAGCAACCATGGTTCCAGTAAACAAATCTTCCCACTATTAATAGAGGCAATCTGCAGTCATTTTGTGCGATAGTTCTAGTGAGGATGCAGGCAAAGATTGATGGCAGCCAGCGCTAAAAGAGCGAACGGTACACTACTGATGGGATGCGACTTGTATACTTCCATTTGCCAGAGAGGCAATGAGTCGGCACTGTGTCCTGACTCTGTCAACATGTCCTGAATTGGCTCCGGGACAGTGTTACTGTCTGTGGGTTGTAATACTAAAGGGAGAGGGCGAGAAAGCACTCTGTCATCCCATACATCACAGTCACTATTACACTGTAAACCGTTAAAGGTAGAAATATGTACATTTATGATGTTTAGAGACGTTCGAAAACAGTCTCTCTGCCGGCTGCAAAAAATGTGAAGAGGAAACATGCTTTGAGGGAGGCTAGTACGCGAAATGGTTGAATACTCCACATGTTGGCGAGCCGGGATACTGGAAAGCCACACACAAAGCGAGCTAAACCGCAGTGGTCGATACGGCGACGACGATTTTTGTTCTATATATATATATATCTATATGTACCGTACGTCGGCAGACTGGGTCTGAGCTTATGTCTCCTCTCTCCAGCGCCAGCAGGACGCCGTCGTTTGTATAGTCTTCGAAAGGGATTTCAACATTGTTCATATGCTGTCCGGAATTGAGCGGAATCAGGGGAAACGCAACACCTCCGAAGCTATCGAGTATTGCTGCACAGTCCAGCGAGAGATTTTTCTCTACATTGCCCTGTTTCCCTATTCCTTGCAAGACCAATCAGATTGCCGGATTATGCCTGATTCGCGCTGTCGTCTGACTGTTTTTGACTCGACTCGAATTGTTTACTGTCGCTCGGGTCGTTTCGGCCAACTTGGTCCTGTGCAATGTATCTCACTGTTTGTTGCACACAAAGATGCTCATACATTAGACCGCAATTGTAAGCGTCGCTTCCGCTCGCCAACAATGCCATGCATTCGCCTACTCGTCGTGTATCTGAGCAAGACTCCAGTATAGGCCATCATCATAGAGTCCTCCAATTCTCACCTGGAGGCTGATCATCTGAGACCAATCTTGAGGCAGCTGCCACGACGGTACACCGGGTGTTAGCGCTCCGCTCCACATTTGTCCTCAGTGAGAGAGGGTTATCGGCCACCATGGAGGAGTGTTGAGCCATGCCCATGACCTCTTCGCGTACCTCTGCAGCAGCTCCACCCCAAGGTCCGCCACCAGACCGTGCAACGAGTGACAGACGTGACCATCCGGACACCACTGAGGCAGAAGCGAGCGTCCTTATTTCAGTGGGTTAATTGGTTATGCAAGAACTGTTCTGGATCGAAAAACTTAGAGATGTGTCCTCATATATCCAGGGTATATAAATGTTCAGTAGAATTGCATATTTTGTGAAACCAACCAGTTTTTCACACGTTTGGAGTGCCACCACAAATGATCTCAAGGAAATATTTTTGACAATCGCAGTAAGCGATTGTGAGCTCACCGTACCCGCGCTGGCCAAAGCTAACCAAACGCTGATCTGCGTGGTGGCTGGTCGCTGTGTGTGCCCTCGTCCCTGGCCCTGGAGCTCAGCTGTTAGAACACTGAGTGACACCAAGCATGCTGCGTTGTAAGCATGTGGTCAAAGTGAGTGCAAAAATCATTGGGTGGAGATTTATAACCTTTGGGGTTGGGTTTGACTGTTTCTCTCTTTGCAGCAGAGTCCAGAGTGCTCTGACCTTGACCTGGAGCGCCCGCCCGCCACTGTCTCGTTCCCAGTACTAGTACTGGAATGGACCACCGCCGACGGAGCCTCCTCTCGACGCAGGCCTGAGCGTGGCAGATGATCGCGCGTCTTTGTGTGTGGTGACTCGTCGACTTGTAGTCCCCACTGTGATTTTGGGTGTGCCAGCGAGGTCGCATGGAATGGGTGAGGGGGTATAGGGGTCCGGGGTCGCTTAGGTTGGTGCCCCGAGTTTGCTGTGGCAGAGGTGTTGTGGTTACACCATCTGCTGTCCGATGAGTGAACTCGTTACGAGATGACCCCAGTTGAAGGCGCATTCATTGGAAAGAGCTGCTGGTCCTCTTGCCGGTCTCCCTCGGCCATTCCGTGAAGACTCCTTGTCGAATCCACCACAGTGCTCCATACCGGCCCACTTTAGTTCCCCGACTCTATCCAGGCCCTGACGGCGGTCTTATAGAGAGAAGAGGGGGCTGGAGTCTCAGAGAGAGGTTCTCGAGTTCAGAGTTCGCCTCTGCACACAGTGGTTGCTGCTTTGTTGGGCGGGAGTCTGCAGGTGTTTGGGCGACCGGGTGCTGCGCTGGGCATGGGGTCTGGTGTCAGCGTCGTCACACTGTGTCGGGCGTCTGTTGCCGTTTTGTTACACCCCGGTGACACCCGCTAAATCACGCAGCGCCAGTTCTACCAGAGACCTCCAGCTCTCATAAAACGACAAATGATTCAGAACTGCAGGGCTGGGAGAAAGCTCTTCCAGTACCGATTCCTTATCTCTATCTTTTTACATTTTAGTGGGCCAATGTGCAACGTGTTTGTGTTACGTCCTATCTTTTTTTTGGCCTTTTTTTTTTACCTTTCTTTACTTTCCTACACGTCTGTGTCAAGAGTTACACCTGGGCTGCCATCTTTGCTTTTACTACTTTTTATTAGCGTCGTGGATTGGTTCGCTGCGCAAAACTGTTACTTACAACCCCATTGCATGGGTTACGTGTACGTACGTTTGCATGCTGTTCTTGCATGTGCGTTTGCTGTTTGCTGCGGGTAAAAAGTGCTCCACAAGTACATGGTAGCCTGTGCAGTCAAGGGCCTATTACAACTATTTGTTAGTTATGTCAGTTCCTGCATTGATTGCATTTCTTGACGACCAGCACTGTGTCTGTAAGCCACGGATCACTCCGCGAGATGGAGTCACTGCCCTCACCGACATACCGATCAGAACGGTGGCAGACAAAACCGTGTTGTGTTTGTGTGTACTGAGTCACAGTCACTCACAATATCACCAAACTTGTCAGGATCTCCTCTCCATGGACTTGCTAGGGGAGATCCTGTCATACAAAATGGGAAAGGTATAATTATATATACTATAAA